TTGAAAGAGGAAAATAAGGTGAAATAATGTTCACTTTCAATATTAATATCAAATATAAATAAATAAAAACGTGTTTCATTTTTCCTCTTTTGTTAATTTCATAGTAATTGCATAGTAATAGCTTCGAAATAATAGCTCAATGATAATACCTCAATCTCGTCATATCTCAAGAACGTTTTGCTTTTTGATTGAATCGAAACATTTTCATACAATTGCAAAAATTCGTTTTTCCAAAGGTAATGCTATGCAAAAAATATAGTTTTAAATAGTTATAAAATATTTAATATTTTTTATATTTATAATATGTGTTAGAAAAATTCTGAATCCCGATTTTTGAAATCCCTGTGAAGTAAATGGCGACTGATGCACGTTAAATCTGTCAAGTCATAATGTCCTCCATGTTCCCATAACAAATCAAAACCTCTGGGGATACTTACCCAGGAGTTTCCTTGTCTTCTGGATTGTTTCAAAATTACAAGGCTACGGAGTTGAACATTAGTAGTCGTAAACTCGAAAATTGGGCTGGTTATTCAACGACGGATAAAATAAAATAAAATAGCAAGATTTACAAATTTTTATATAATTTTATGGAATGTAATTTTAAATTGCGAAATACAAAATTTCAATGAAATCGGTTGAATAATTTGAGATAAATAAAATTTTAATCAAACTGACTTTTTTAAAATTTGATAACTCAGAAACTAATTGATCGATTGCTTTGAAAGTTTGTATTTTGAAATTAAAAGGATGTAAAAATATGTAGAACACACAATTCAATATATATTACTATTATTTAATAAACTAATAAAAAATAACAGATAATTATTTGAAATTATTTTTGCTTAAAAATTTGTGTATAAAATGTTTTTTGTAATTTTATGCAAAAATGTTTCAATATACTCAAAAAGTTCTCAAGATAATTGAAGAGTAAAGTTAAAATTTAAGGACCCAAACTTTGCAACTCTCTCTTAGCCATAACTTTAGACCATATCTTCCAGATTGCGGCTGTTTCCACATTTTGAAAATTAAAAACCTAAAACTATAGACAAACTTGTATTTTTATCCAGAACAGAATGCGCTTTTCTGCTCATTTTCGTAACTTAAAATATGGTATTGACTCTTTGTACGTGAAAATTTGATTAAATCAAAAGTAATCAAGGTGTTCCCTTTTTCCATTTCATGCACTGTACATGAAATAAGTCAATGAGAATCTGTTATGTTGATTAATATATATTTTAAGATATTGAATACGAACAGTTTAATTGTTTTTCTGAATCAATCAACAATCTTTTTACTACTAAGAAAATGATAAAAAAATAATAAATTAAAAATATTTTGTTACTGTTTTTCTTTTTTTCCGACTGCATATTTATTGCGTTGATTAAAATGTAAACCTTGAATCCGAATAAGTAAATGATTTTCCTCATTTACAAGTATTTTTTAAAAAAAAGATGAAAAAATTAAATAAATTTTATTCTTATACTTTCATTTTGCTTGAAAATTTCAAAAAGCAATTATGTGATCCCATAAACCATTGATAAACACCTTAGTACATAAAAAAGAAGAGGGCCTGCGTTTCTTTCTATCCCTCAGGCTTTTGTCAGTTATTCCCCCAGCAAAGAGGTATCCCCTTTCTCCAGAAGAAAGGATAGCAATTTGGAAGATAAGATTCCAAGAAAATGAAGATGTGTCTGTGGGAAAGGATTTCTAAGGGACTTCGAAAAGTCGTCAATTTCACCCATGTCTAATCGCATCCGGTTTCTAGTTTAACAAGATATGGGCAAAGTACAAGTATGGGCAAGGTATGGGCAAAGAGAGATAAAAGGAAGCATATGGTATCATGTAAACAGGTGATTAAAGCTGTTATATAATCTCTTATGAAATGTGAACTGTTACTGTCTCTAATTTTATCTGTTATCTTGTGTATGTAAATTTTCAATCATAATATATTTTAATATTTTCGTTGTTTGCTAGCTAGTCATTTTTAACTTTCACCAAAGTTTCCTTTTTATCAATTTTCAATCAGATTATTATCTCTGAAACACTGATAATTATCTATTTCAAGGACCAGGGTATTTTATGTTAAGTGTTGTATGAACCCTATTCAGTGATTTTGTTAAAGTGTTGTGATAATTTTAATGTGATTATTTTTAAGAGGTAATTTTTAAAGTAAAACTTTTTATTTGGAGATAAGATAACAAAATTGGTATATGTAACTGCAAGGAAATGTTATTATATTTAGCTTCCAATAATCCATGCGTGAATCCAGCATTATCATCTTAATTATACATATACATGTTTATTTACTTTAAATTAATTTATCATATTGTATATTTATAATGTATTAAAATCTAGAAAAAGTGTTTACTTAAAGACAAAGGTCCTATGTTATTTTATTTGCTAGAGATCTAACTCGAATAAGATAATTGAACTAGAATTGCAGATATTTGACTCAAAAAATATCAATCATTGAAAATTATATAACTGGGCAAAGCTTTGAAAAATTCCTCTGTGACTATGGTGGTAAAAGAATTTCTTTCGAAAATGAAAGGACATTTTAAATTACACCTGGGAACATAATGGACTATACTCAAAAATAAAGGCAAAAGCCTTATTTCATGTACTCTTCAAAGCCCTGTTTTTTCCCCGTTAAGACCATCATAAGTAACGTTCAAAAAAGTTTGTTTTTTGAAACTAAAAAGAACCTAGATTTTTGCTTTAAACTGTTTTTTTTGGGGGGGGATTTATTTAAAACTTAAAAGGTAAAATTATCTTTTACACCTTAAATTAAAAATATTTAAGCTATTATAAGGTATAATCATGAAAATTTCAGTCATTAACTATTATTAACAATTAAAAAATAACCACTTTCAGTGCATAATTATGCTAACAAAATAAAAAAGCATAAATGAAAGTTTTGAATATGGCTATGCACACTATTTTAAGTTGCAACTTAAGATGCAAATAAAAATTTCATGTAAATTATTACTGTACCCTAGTAATATGTAAAAGAATGAGTTCCTTTTTGTTTGTCTGTATATATATATATATATATATATATATATATATATATATATATATATATATATATATATATATATATATATATATATATATATANATATGGAGAAACCCCATACTTAAGCATTATTTAATACTATTAATTAACTGTATTAAGTTTTCAACATTGACATTAATGTAATTAATAAATCATATTTTTTCCCAATTTCATCAATACAAATTTTAAGAAAAAGCAGGAAAAATTTAATGTATTATATTTTTTTCAATTCAAAAATATTGAAAAATAATATTACAAGCTAAAAGACTAAAAACATAAATTTGGCTGCATTCGCGTGTGTATATAAAATTGTAAAGTAAAAGTATATTTTACCAGGAGTGCATAATTTGTTCGATTGTACAAGTGAGTTCATAGGAAATTCAGGCAACTAATTACAGGATATAAATGCTGCACAATTTTTTATTGTTAAAAAATGTGTTGCTTTACAAAAGTTTTGACTGTGAAAGTAAAATGAATGTAAAATTATTCCTACAGAAAAAATCTTAGGATAACAAGGAACGAGGATTTAATGTTTTTTGAAAAGTAAATTATTACTGACACAATATATTTGGATATTATATTATTTTTAACACATGTGCTAGTCTCCTCTCAAGATTTGTGTAAAAAAAAAATCAATATTTTCCTCTGTTGAGAAACAAGGTTTTTATCAAAAATTTTAACAATATACGAACTTTAATTTATAAAAATAATTTTAAAAAATCATGGTAACTAAAAAAAATTTTGAGAGAAATTTAAAAAAAAAAAAAAAACTGTTCTGGGGAAAGATTAGGCTCTGATAATTTTTTGCACCTCTGTTTTACTGTTAATGATTTCATAAATACGAAATGGAATTCCTTTTTTGTCATTCTTTTTACACAATGAAGCTTTAAGCAAATCACTATGCTTAATATGCAGCATTAAGTAAAATTATGTGAATTGATTAAATATTAAATTAATTTTGAACATTTTTTAGTATTTTTGGATTATGCTCTTTTATCTAAACATTATATTTTGAAAATGTTAGAATTAAGAAAAGCATGCTGCATACATACAGTAACAATTTGTTTCTGCTGATTACGGAAGAAAATTTTAAAAATTAAGTGAAATACATACAAAAGCACCTAATTTCAACTCAAGCTTTTAATCGTAGCAAGAATAATTAATAATGCTTCCTTCATTCAAAAACATAATAAGATTGAAAAGCAAAGTAACTTTTGATTTTAACTTGTTCGGTAATTGCATTTTTCCGTAATTTTAAAAACTATCTGAACATTTGAAATGATATAGTCTGTATTATTTAAAGAATTTTTAGAGAAATTACAATTTTGGTTTTAAATTCACTCGCATTAATTATTTCATAATAATATTTTTGTAAAAGAGCAATTACATATGAACTTCTAAAAATTGCACATTTCATGCATCCACTTAAAGTAACACAGACTCGTGTTGGCAATTAAACTCAAGATTAAAATTATTTTTTTATGGGAGGATTTATTATTATCCTTTCATTTGTATTTAAAGTAGATAAATGTAAAACTTTTTTTAAATACTTAAGTTAATTTGTAAGTTTAAAAAAACTATTTAAAACAAGCTAACTCTTACCATAAGTATGAAAGCGAGTCATACTAGTACCTTTGGTGTTCTCCCAAGCCAGAGAAGCTATCTATTTCTCTATCTATGTTGTTGACAAAAAACCTAGAGTCTTGTGGTTCTCAATTAATTCCTATTATTATTACAAAAAAAAGTAAAGCTGAGTGCACTAAATAATAATTGGGAACCTGTTTCAATCAACAGAAGTATTCAGATGAAACCGGCTCAATTGTATGACTCATTAATCTAGAGAAAATTAAAATAAAAGTGAATGAATAATCAAATTTTTATTGTACAGTCTTTAAAATGTGTTTTCATTTTTCATTACAAAGTATCATTCTAATTCAAATAGGAATCTGCCAAAGAAGAATGTGGAATTTGTTCTTTGATAGTACCCAAAGATAAACTTTCTGAGCACTTTAGTAAATGTGTTGTGGAAAATTCTAATAATCCTTATTCAGAATGTGGAATGTCTACACCTCAGCCTATAGCAAGTATGATTATTTAAAAGTACAATGATTTGATATTGCCTATACAAAAATATTTAGTTTCACGTAAAAAATTCCTATGCTTAGTGAGCTAGAAATTTTAGAAATTGATTATATGGGAGACATTGAGTTGGATTCATTTTTTTCTAATTTTAAATTCATTATATTCAATCAGCTTTTGAAAATAAATTTCCTGTTAAAGATATTCATTCTTATAATAAATAAGTTAAAATATATAAATAAGTTAAAGATATTCGTCTTATAAATTAACCTTTTTATTTTTATAGCTTAGCTTTATTTATGAAGTAAAAATAAAAATAATTAGTAAATAATTTTAAGTATGCTACACTTCAGGTAAATGTTCGGTCTTTACAACTATTGTTAATTTTTTCTAGCAAATAACTATACTAGAAATTGAAAGATATTATTTTATATAATTTTGAGTCTAGCCCATATTAAAATAATTATATTAATAGAGTAACGAAAATTGAAGTTTTTAAATTGTGTCATTAAATACTTTTTCATAATTGTATCATAATTTTAGGTTGTGCAGATGGTTCTAAAATTAAAATGCATACTGAGGGGGCAAAAGTAAGTATTTCTTACAATGATATTGTTATTTGTATTTTACATTTTGTTCTGAGCAAACTTTCAATGATAGAGTATTATACCATTCAAGAGCATTATACCATTTTAAACTTTAAAAAAAAAAATTGGAAAGAAAATCTTGTCATTATTTAATTGATAGATTGCATAATTACTTGAGTTCACTAATTTTATCTTTATCACCCAAGCTTTTATGCTTTATATTTATGCAAGGGAATAAAAAAAAATTAACATTCGATAGTTAATTTAAAAATTATTAACTGTTAAACGTGTTGTAAAAATACCAAGTGTGGACCTTTGCAACATGTTGAAATGCAATAAAGGTTACATTTGATGTGCTTTTGTTTAAATTTGTTTGAAAATTATAAAGTTTTAAGTTTTTGTTTTTTGTTACAGTTTTTTTTTCTATTTATTCATTGTTGTAGGATAATTAATTTATCTTTATAAAAATCTTTATTTTATAATCTCTAGCTTTAATTTATGTCAAAAGTATATATATAAAAAAGGAGATTAGATGTTATAAACTACAAAACTTAACAATTGTATTAAAATTTTTAAAAAAATAAACTTATTTAGGTTATGAAATTCATTGCCAATTTTTAACCGTTAAAATGATATTCATATCCTTAACAAGTAAAATTACTTATAATTTATTTCTTCTTATTAATCGCACATTCTCTGTTCTAAGTACTGTTGGTTATTTTTATATCATGGTAATCTTTCATTTTGTTATGATTAATAGTTTAGCAAAATCTTCTTGCATAAAATGATAACAATCATTTATTTTACTAGAAAAATGAATTTATTTTTTGAAAAAGATTGACTTTAATAAGAAAAAAAATCATTGAATGAGAAGCAGTTTTGGTAAGCAATGCAAATAAATACCGAAGTTTCCTAGCAATAAAAGAAAATGTTAAAGGCAACAAAATGTTGAATGCATATTTATTATTAAATATCCTGAAATTTATATCAGCCATATCTGAAGTTTAATTTTAAACAGACTTTAGATTGTCAAAATAATTTATCCAATTTTTTTCTTAGCTTTAAATTATTTTAGCTTAGTCATATTTTTAATTTTTATCACTTCTAAACTTAGATTGTAAAAAAAAAAAAAGCTAAGCACTCAGTCTGAAAGTAAGTACTAACTTTTATTCCTTCATAATAAAATAATTTTATTCCAAAAAGTGGCAAATACATTAAGCTCTTTGAAATATTCCCTACATGCTATGTGTATTAAAATACAATATGCCTACATTAATTTAGAAGATAAACATCAACCTTGTCCATAAAAGAAGTGTACCGATATTATTTGTTTATTAAAGTAAAAGTCAAAAAAATTTCATTAGTTTGCATGTAGATTTTGAAGCGTTTCTGTTCTGGAGTTGCAGGCATACTACTAATTAACATAGGAAAATAAATTTATTCAAAAAAATAGCTTCAAATTTTAGGAGTCTCTCTGAATTGATCCATGCATGGCATGTGGACGTGCAACTATATAATTCAACTGTAGTTACTCTTATTTTAACTGATAAATTAGACATATTATTAATACACATTTTACTTTCAGATAAATTTATATCCTTCAATGGGAGAGCTTTTGCTGTGCCCATACTGTTCCATGAATTTTCTCTCAAAGCGTTTTGCCAATCACAAGAAATACTGCAAATCGGCTTTAGTAGAATGTCCTATTTGCCAAGACACTTATCACATTGATGAAAAAGAGGAGCATAGAACTACTTGTGATGCATTAGATACTGTACTAATTCCAGAGAGTGACTTGAAATGTACTAGTTTTATTTTATGTTCTGCTTTCACTTTTTTCATAGTGTTTAGATTAAGTCATGTTTTTATTATTTTTCCATTAATTTTTTGTGATTTCTCTATGTTTTGGGCATTTACCCGGATAATCTTTTTTGTTTTTTGTTTTGTTGTTGTTCTAAGAGTTTGAACAGTTTTATATCCTTTCTTATTTTGTTTTTCTATTAGTTATTTGTTTTTAATAGATTCTTATTTTTTCATTGTTATTGTAGTTATAGTTATTCACAAGTTAATCCTCATTCCTTATATCCATCTGAGAAATTTGAAAAATGTTTAATCTGCAAAATTGAGAATAATTTATTAAGTTTTTAAATTTATTTCTCTTTAAAAATGGCTTCAGGTTGTGGAATAAAAATTCCATCATGCTATAATCTGTACACTTATTCAAATATTTATCATGAAAGTATTGTTTCATGTTTTAATTGTATTATTATATATATTTTCTATTGATTTATGGAAAGTAAGTTCTTACTTGAATAGAAAGTTGTGAAAGTTTCATTTGTTCTTAAATACATTTATTTTTGTATTAAACATGTAAAGACTTGTTTAAGTTCATAATAATGAGACACAGCTGCCAACTACTACATTTTATTAAAAATATTTATGAGTGGCAAACAATTAAAAACCAAAGCTTTCAGAATTCTGTGTAATTTTGCCAATATTCAGAAGCCTTACCACAAGATTGCCAGAACAAAGCAGTGTTTCATATGAACTTTTGAATTATTTTCATGTAGCGGTGTGGAAAATAACTTTAAATCAAATTTACAAAACAAAGAATCATTAATCAAAACAAACATAGCTACCACTAGAGGAAATTTTCCCAAAATCGGTAGGAAGTTTGCAGCCCTGTAATCAGACATTTTTGCTGTAGAAACCATCTTTTCACATTAGCAATAGCATTAGTTACATTTTTATTTTTTTTCTTATCTTCTTAATAACCTGTTGGCAGAACTGAATTGTTGAAATTTAAATTCAGATTTAAATAGGTAACAACTGACATACATGAAATGATATTACTTTGTTGTAGCACCATTGAGTATATCTAATTAATTCTTTATTTAGTGGAATTGCAAAAAAAGTTTGGAACTTTACATTTTGAAGAAAATCTGAGAGTGAGTATTGCTATCAGTTTAATTATCTTTTATTTTTAAAATAAAAGTTGTGGTTTTTTTTAGAAAAGTATGTTTTACAAAACTTAATTTTATAATGTATCATTGAAAACAGTCTTACGAGCTCAGAATCTCATGTTTTTTACTCTGCATTCTGGTAGTTTCATCATCTGAATACGTTTCATAACTTACATATAAATGTTTGGAGGAATTCATATATCTTTACTAAAATTGCTTAGTCAAGAATTGCTAACTGTGACTAGTTAAATATAATTTTGTGACAATTTGATGCATGCTGTATATTTCCAAATATAAGCTGAGAAGTTTTAGAAAATTTTTGAAAGAAGTCTAAAGTGGGGCAGTTGGCTTATAATCCGATCCACTAACTTCGAAGAATTCCAGGATAGCATCACCAACAGGATTGCTTCTCCTTTTGTCAGACACCAGCGATAATCTGTAAATATCGCATAACATGCATGCATAACATAAAAATAATAGTTGAAAACGGAATGTCTACATGTAACGAGTGAGAAATATAAAAGGGACAAATTGAAGGGAATATTATTATTTTTGAATATTCTAGTTTACCTATTTTTAGGTGGATGCGAATACATAAACAAAAAAAAGGAAGACGCTAAAATCCAATAAATTCTATATCAGAATCTGATTCTTCCTAAAGTTTGGTAAATTCCTGTTCTGTCATCTGAAGATCTGGATTTAATAAATTGTCCAAATTTCTGATGTCTTTATATTAACTTGTGTCTTCATACACTAATTGAACTTCACTGCCATATATATTGATACTGATGTAACATTTTTTAAAAGATCTAGTTACGACATGAGTAGGTCTGTGCTACTTTTACCCTTTGTGCAACTGTTACTATATATACTGTTACTACAAGAGATAGCGTAAATATTTATTTTCAAGCATAGCTTATCTTGTTTTGTCACTTTGGCTTATATATGTGTTTTGAATTTTGGATGAATTTGAAAATAAAAAACGCATTCTTTTTCTTGTACATCGCTGGGGTTAGCAGTGATATGCTTATTTTTGTTGACAAAACTCTTTACAAAAGTGCTTAAAATATTTTAAAAACTTTTATTTTAAATATTTAGTTTTTTCCATTTACATTTCAGAAGAAGCCTACTTTTTTATTTCGATAATAAGGATTGGTCTCTTCATTGATGCAACAATTCATAAAGATTTCAACAGTGTCATTTAATTGTAAAAAAACACAATAAAACTTAAAAATTGATTTAAAAAATGTTAAGAGCTTTTTTTAATATTTATGTAGAATAATTTTTGTTGATAAATTGTTTTTAAATGTTATGAAAATACATAACTTTCCTTAGGAAGTGTTTTTCTAATAGTTTAGTTTCTTATTATAACCTTTAAGGGATTAAAATAATTTCTACATACATAGTTTTTATCCTTATATATATATTTTTATTAATTCTTCATGGTATGCAGGGCTTTTTTTACTTATTCATGTCATCTGCTTTTACTAATTTATGAACATAATACTGTAACTTTACGAATTATGAGTAATAATATAAATTCTATTCTAACTATAATTTTAGGATTTCCATGAAACTACTTTAAAATGCAACAGCTGCAAAAGATATATTCCAATAGGAGCAATGGATTCTCATTTGACTCTCTGTACATCAAAAAAATCTCCTTATTGTGATAAATTCGTGAAGAGCAATCTACAGACTCATTTAACTAAGTGTAATGATTGTAAAAAACTACAGCAAGAGTCACTTAATAATCAAAGTAAGTTTTTCTTTAAATAAATGACTAAGATAACTATAGAAACAGGGCCGGATTTACGTATAAGCTAAATAAGCTGTAGCTTGGGGCCCCGAGATGGCAAGGGCCCCCAGATCCAACTTTTTTCTTCTATTTTGAAGTTTTATTCAAAGTTGGAGCCCTCTGAAAACTAAAATACATTTTTTTTTCTTTTTTACATTGGTGAACGCTTTTTAAAATCTAATAGAAGTATTATAAAAGCTTTTTTTCCTTTTAATTATCCTAAATGTTTTAACTAGCTTAATTGTTTAATTTACTTAATTATTGTAATTGATTTTAATTTGTTATTTCACAAATTAATCGTACATAAATCCGTGAAATCCTTTCTTTCTTTATTTAAATGGTGGGCCACTATTCAATTCCCTCTTTGACAGGCCTATCTGCCAAAATCCTTGATTTGGTCTATTTTGGATGAAATTGAGATAACAGATGTGGTTTTACTTTAATTTTACTTACTGCTAATAGACAGAAGCAACATGTGATATTGCTTGATAGAGCATTGAAATCAAGTGATCATCAGCTAAACAAATGTTTAAATATATATGTAAAANATAATTAAGAATACAAATATTAGGTTAAGCATTAACAGTTTCTCATTGGCAAAAGCTAATAAAGAATAACACAATTATTTTCTGTGAAAGTTTTTGGAGACAAAAGCTACACTTCATGTAAATGGTCGGTCTTTACAACTATTGTTAATTTTTTCTTGCAAATAACTATACTAGAAATTGAAACATATTATTTTATATAATTTTGAGTCTAGCCCATATTAAAATAATTATATTAATTGAGTAACGAAAATTGAAGTTTTTAAATTGTGTCATTAAATACTTTTTCATAATTGTATCATAATTTTAGGTTGTGCAGATAGTTCTAAAATTAAAATGCATACTGATGGTGCAAAAGTAAGTATTTCTTACAATGATATTGTTATTTGTATTTTACATTTTGTTCTGAGCAAACTTTCAATGATAGAGCATTATACCATTCAAGAGCATTATACCATTTTAAAATTTAAAAAAAAAATTGCAAAGAAAATCTTGTCATTATTTAATTGATAGATTGCATAATTACTTGAGCTTTCTCATTTTATCTTTATTGCCTGAGCTTTTATGCTTTATATTTATGCAAGGGAATAAAAAAGTTTAACATTCGATCGTTAATTTAAAAATTATTAACTGTTAAACTTGTTGTAAAAATACCAAGTGTGGACCTTTACAATATGTTGAAATGCAATAAAGGTTACATTTAATGTGCTTTTGTTTGAATTTGTTTGAAAACTATAAAGTTTTAAGTGTTTTTTTTTTCACAGTTTTTTTTCTATTTATTCATTGTTGTAGGATAATCTATTCATCTTTATGAAAATCTTTATTTTACAATCTCTAGCTTTGATTTATGTCAAAAGTATATATATAAGAAAGGAGATTAGATGTTATAAACTACAAAACTTAATATTTGTATTAAAATTTTTAAAAATATAAACTTATTTAAGATATAAAATTCATTGCCAATTTTTAATCCTTAAAATGATATTCATATCCTCAACAAGTATACTTTATGTAATACATATTTTTAATTTTTATTACCTCTAAAGTTAGATTGTAAAAAAAAAATGCTAAGCACTCAGTCTGAAAGTATGTACTAACTTTTATTCCTTCATATTATTTGTTTATTAAAGTAAAAGTTTTAAAAAAATTTCATTAGTTTGCATATAGTTTTTGAAGCGTTTCTCTTCCCCATTTGTAGACATACTACTAAATAAGATTGGAAAATAAATTTATTCAAAAAATTATCATCAAATTTTAAGAATTTCCCTGAATGTATCCAATCCTTGGCATGTGGACGTGCAACTATATAATTCAACTTTGGTTACTTTTATTTTAACTTATAAATTAGACATGTTATTAATACACATTTTACTTTCAGACAAATTTATATCCTTCAACAGAAGATCTTTTGCTGTGCCCATACTGTTCCATGAATTTTTTCCCAAAGCGTATTGACAATCACAAGAAATACTGCAAATCGGCATTAGTAGAATGTCCTATTTGCCAATACATTTATCACATTGATGAAAAAGAGGAGCATGGAAAGACTTGTGATGCATTAGGTACTGTGCTACTTCCAGAGAGTGACTTAAAATGTACTACTTTCATTTGTTGTTCTGCTTTCACTTTTTTCATGGTGTGTAGATTAAGTCATGCTTTTATTATTTTTCCATTTATTTTTATGATTTCTATATGATTTTGCATAATGAAGAATAAAAAACAAAAGTGATCTTTCTTTTTTTTTTTTTTTTCATTCTAAGTGTTTGAACAGTTAGTTGTATATCCTTTCTTATTTTACTTTTTCTTATCTTTTTTTTTTCTGTTAATTATTTGTTTTTAATAGATTCTTTTTTTTTGATAGTTATTGTAGTTATAGTTATTCACAAGTTAATCCTTATGTACATTTGAAAAATGTTTAATCCAAAAAATTAGGAACTTATTTTTAAATTTATTTCTCTTTAAAAATGGCTGTAGGTTGTGCAATAAAAATTCCGTCATGCTGTAATCTGTACACTTATTCAAAGATTTGTCTTAAAAGTGTTGTTTCATGTTTTTACTGATATTTTCTCTTGATTTATGGAAATTAAATTCTTACTTGAATAGAAAGTTAGTGAAAGTTTCATTTGTTCTTAAATATATTAACTTTTATATTAAACGTATAAAGGCTTGTTTAAGTTCATTATAATGAGACACAGCTGCCAACTACTGCGCTTTTTGAACAATATTTATGGATGGGCAAACAATTGAAAACTGAATTTTTTGTGTAATTTTGCCAACATTTAAAAGTTTTAACACAAGAGAGCTGGAACAAAGTAGTGTTTCATATGAACTTTTGGATTATTTTCATGTAGTGGAGTGGAAAATAACTTTAAATCAAATTTACAAAACAAAGAATCAATAATCAAAACAAACTTACAAACCACTAGAAAATTTTTTCCCAAAATGAGTAAGAAGTTTGCAGCCCTGTAATCAGAATTTTTAGAAGCCATCATTTCACATTGACAACAGCATTAGTTAAATTTTTATTTTTTCCTTATTTTCTTAATGACTGTCCACCAAACTGAATTGTTGAAATTTAAATTCACATTTGAATAGATAACAAATTTACTGCATGAAATGATATTACTTTTTTTGTAGTACTGTTGAGTATAGCAATTTATTTCTTTATTTAGTGGAATTGCAGAATAAGTTTGGAACTTTACATTCAGATGAAAATATGAGAGTGAGTATTGCTATCAGTTTTATTATCTTTCACTTTTTAAAATAAAGTTGTGTTTTTTTTTTTTTTTTCTTGAGAAAAATTAGTTTTACAAAACTTTATTTCATTACGTCTCATAGAAAACAAGTCTTACGAGATCAGAATCTTAAAAAAAATTTACTCAGCATTCTGGTAGTTTCAAAATGTGAATAAGTTTCATAATTATCATTTCAATCTTTAGATGAATCTATATATCTTAACTGAAATTGCTTGGTCAATAAGCGCCAACTGTGGCTTGTTAAATGTATTTTTGTAACAATTTATTGCGTATTGTATATTTCTGAATATTAGCTGCAAAGTTATATAAAATTGAAAGAAATGTAAAGTGAAGCAATCTGCTTATAATCAGATGATAACTACTAACCACTTACTTCGAAAAATTCCAGGAGGACAACACCAATAGGATTGCTCCTCCTTTTGTCAGACACCAGCGATAATCAGTAAATATCGCATAACATACATACAAAACATAAAAATACTTCAAAATAATAGTTGAAAAGGGAATGTCTAAATGTAACATTTGAAAGAGAAAAATATGAAAAGGACAAATTGAAAGGAATACTATTATTTTTGAGTATTCTGATTTACCTATCTTTAGGTGAATGCAAATATATTAACAAAAGGAAAAGAACACACAAAAATCCAATGAATTCTATATCGGAATCAGATTCTTCCTAAAGTTTGGTAAGTTCCTGTTCAGTCACATGAAGATCTGGATTTAATACATTGTCCAAACTTCTGATGTCTTCATATTCACTTGTGTCTTCATACACTAATTGAACTTTATATTAATACTGATGTAAAAATTTATTTTAACCTCTGTTCAACTAACCTCTACCGTTACTACACTAGACCTGAGCTTTTATTTTTAAGCATAGCATATCTTATTTTGTCACGTCGGCTTATATATAAGTTTTGAATTGTGAGTGAATTTCCAGATATAAAGCGCATTCTTTGACTTGTACATCGGTGGGGTTAGCAGTGATATGCTTATTTTTGTTGACAAAACTCTTTACAAAAATGAATAAAATATTTTAAAAACTTTTATTTTAAATATTTAGTTTTTTTCCATTTAAATTTCAGAAAAAGCCCACTTTTTTATTTTTATAATAAGGATTGGTCTCTTCATTGATGCAACAATTTATAAAGATTTCTACAGTGTCATTTAATTTTAAGAAAACACAATAAAACTTAAAAATTGATTTAAAAAATGTTAAGAGCTTTTTTTGATATTTATGTAGAATAATTTTTGTTGATAAATTGTTTTTAAATGTTATGAAAATACATAACTTTCCTTAGGAAGTTTTTTTCCTAATTGTTTAGTTAGTTATTATAATCTCTCTTAAGCAATTTGATTTTCTTGTTTGTAATTGACAGTTGTGTTTGTTTTTTATAGAAAAAAATGGTGTGATTTTCAAACGGTTATACTTCCTTTATTTCTCTATTTTAGGAAAAGGAAGCATTATATGAACAATGTCCTTTTTGTGAGAGTAAAATTCATCAACATTCTTATTCTAAACATTTACTAACTTGTTCTCTGTCTATGAAACAATGTCATCTTTGTAAGCAAGAATTCCCTAAAGAAAGTGAAAGAGATCATTTTACTGTGTGTCCAAAATTATTCAAGATAAGTTCAAAATCTGGTCAAGATGAGTTTTTTTATGGAGGTATAATATTTTAATTTTTAGTAAAAGTTTTCTTATGTTTCTGATGTATATGTTTCAAGCTAATTGGAAGATCTGGCTCTTTGCAAACTGCCGACGTCACTTTACAGCAGGGGTCGCCAAACTTTTTTGATCGTCGACCCCTACATAATTTTTCGAAATCTCCATCGACCTCCATAAAAGTAATTTTCTGCTAATTAAAACTCTAGTAGATACTGTGTTTGTACATTTATTTTATGATTTTGAACATTTATTAAAGTAATAGTACATTGTGTAACAATAGTTTTATGAAAAATATATTAACATTGAAATTCAAATACCTTATTATTAAATAATAAGTAATTATGCATAAGTAGATATACTAAGTAAAGAAACTGAAGATTTACTGCTTCTTGATCAATGAGAAGGGTGTGCCTGGTGCTTTTTTGCAAGGTTCGCTATATTGGGTTCAAAATTGGTCAATTTTGTAATCTTCGTAAAAAATACAAAGTGTTCTATAGTTTTGTCGCGGACAGTACTAATCCATATTATTAATGCTTACCTTCTTTTTTGTGCATTGATAATTAAAATTGATATCTAAACTAAACGAATGGTTTTATCGAAACAATAACTAATTATCCAAAACTATAAAAGTTTTAGTAATGACACTGCAAATATTGAACACAGTTTGCAAAGATAGCTGAAACTGCGTATGATATTTGCATTTGTAACGTCAATGCTCGTCACACGTGACATTTGGACAAGTGCACATATGCATATGACTTATAAACTGCGCTGAGTTCGTGCCACTGCGCGGTGGTACGTAAATACTTGTTTCACCTCTGTAAATATACTTTTATTAATACATGTTTTATAAAGAAGCTGATATTGAGTCACTTATAAAAAAAATTCTCAAATTTTGCATACTTAATTAGGTATGTGTGATTTGCGTATTGAGAACTGTTGTTCCCACAATCGACCCTTCCGATTCGGATCGACCCCCATTCGCCCCCCTGTCTTAGATCGACCCCCGCTTTTGTTAAATAGACCCCTGGGGGTCTATATAGACCACTTTGGCGACCTCTGCTTTACAGTGTGCTTGCAAAGTTCCTACAATATGTGACAAAGAAATGTTTCTGAAGAGCTGAATTTTCTAATTGGCAGCAGCACAGAAATCTAATGTGATCTCTCTTAGAAAGTCTAATGTGGTTGAAAAACACATTGAATTGTATACCAGTGTGGGCTTTTTGTAACTCAAACTAGCATATTTCAAAAAATTGGAAACAAATCGAACTACCTTTGAAATGAAGATTCTCATAACAGCCAGTTGTGGAAGTAATGGTAGTTAGGCTCTATTATTGCTTGATCAAGAACATAATTACGGTCATTTGGTCAACATTTGACACTAAACACTCTTACTATACAGCAAAGCCGATATCTATCTATTTGAAGCTCGATATGTTTATAGCCACAACTAGCGATCAAACTCCAGTCTTTCATAAAAGTTGTTATCTCTAAGCCATCACCATGCTCAAATTATTATTAATACTCCAAGAATTGCCTATTTAAATATTTATTTTTGATGAATTCAAAATCATACTATGAGAAATTGTGAATATTTACTTAACTTCCATGAAATTTAAGGGTATTTCCTTTTTGTGGAATAAAAAAATGAGATATGTGAAAAAAGTTTCTTTCTTGTCAGAATCAACAGAAATAAGATGTTTTTCTCTATTTATTTCAATAACGTCTTGATGAATAATATGGGCATTTACAATCAAGGTCATCAGTAATATGTAGAATACTTTTTCCACAACTTTTTCGATTTGCAATCCACCTCGTTGCAGGTTTCTGTTGTTGTTGCTTATCCCCTTGGTCTAGAGCCCTAGACCAAGTCCAGGAGATCATGTTGCATCAGCAAGTCATAAACAGTCTCTCCATCACTCATCAGTTGCCTCACAGAGGCACCAGTGCCATCCAAAACATGAGATGGAGAAGTGATAGCCGAGCAATGACAATAGGCTTATGTCTTTTCTTTTACTCTGAAGATCAAACACTTAATATGGCCAGTCCTAAGTCTTGACAAAGCTGTTTGAGCAAATCTAGGGCAAGTGCACTGCAGGAATAATCCGGGGCATTTGGCGGCATACCAATCATATCTGGTGGGTGCTGCCACGCTGAATTTACCCTAGCTAACTTCAGGGAGTGCACCTCAGACACTGGTAGTTTAGAGGAAGGGGGAATAGCAAGTTCACTCCCTTCCTTGGCAAGCCGATTAGCAATCTCATTCCCATAAATACCCACATGGGAGGGGATCCACTGCAAGTGCACCGAGCCAATCTGAGACAAAGTAGTCAATTTGATAACGATTTCCTGTCCCAAAATTTTCAAGATACTTGGCCAGTTCTTCAAATATTGAATTGAACTCTTGCTATCCGTTAATATCCATATGTCAGGTATGCCAGAGTCCATGGCTAGTCTCAAGGCCTTATTTATGGCAATTAACTCTGATCGAAAGACCGAGGCATGGTCCTGGTTTCTAAGTCGGCGGTTGAGCTCTCCTTCGCCTGTCCTCATAAAAACACCTCTGCCCGTTCTACCGGAATCAGGCTTGCTTTCGTCCATATAGACGACCAAGGCTCCGGGAGAGATATTATTGATTTCCTCGAAAGCCAGCTGACATAGCAACTCCGGATGTTCATTTTGCTAGGTAAAATCGATATTTAAGTCATCTTTAAAAACTACATTACTAAGAGAAGTATTAGGTGTCAATAGATTAAAAAAAGAGGGCATGGCTCGACATCAATGTCAGTCAGGCCCTGTCTCTCCATCAAACTAAGAGGGCTGTCCCTTTTCAGCCTCTGATTCTTTGTCCAGTTTGATAAAAATAATGCCGCTCTATTGTGGGAGCCATAGCTCTTAAGCTTAGCGATGTACTTTGTGATGTTAGTCTCTCTTCTTAGGCACAAGGGTTGCAGATTAGCCTCATATCGAACAATATTATTGGGGCAACAGTTCCTGAGGCCAGTGATAATTCTGACCGCACTTAATTGTATTCTGTCAAATTTTTCTAGATTGGTAGGTGCAGCAACCTGATAAATTTGGTAGCCATTCTCAAGTATTGGACGAATGAGAGCAGTGTACGTGCACCTGAGAGTTGCAGCATCAACGCCCCAATCTTTACCAGAAATATATTTTAGAAGCTGGAGCCTTTTTCTGCCTCTTTCAGCAAGCCTGTTAATATGTTTACCACAATTGACCTCTGTATCTAATGTAAATCCCAAATAAGTAGGTGTCTTAGTAGATTGAAGCAATTGTCCTTTTAGAAAAATAGAAGCAGGTTTCTTGTCAGTTAGAGAGATCAACCCTCCCACCCATGAACTTCTCATAAAACATTACCATTGACGGACAGGAGAATTCCTTATGAGATCCATCTTTTAGAGTTCTAATCACAGTAGTTAATTCATTGGTATGACTATTTCACATAACGAAAACCTCCTAAGTATTCATCTATTGGATAGCTATTATTCCCTCGCTTGTAGCTTAGAAAATCAAATCTCCTCTCTGAATCTCTCCTCTTTTCGCAGTCGGACCCCCTGGTGTATTTTTTTTCATCCTTTTATGTAAGTGCTGACACATCCATGAGTCAAAATGGACATCAGATTCACAGAAATGAGGAATCGATTGAAACAGGTATGATTTTGGGAGTCTCACCCTTCATCATAGAAACAGGCTTTTTTACGAAGCATTTTCTTTCAGTTCCTTTGCTCACAGAAATTCTTAGTGTAAATATTGCAATTTTATGCATGTCCTGTTTTGGAATCACAGCGTTCTCACACTTTTATACCTCTCTTTGCTGATTCCAGGGGTGATTGTGCTCCGGAAAAAGTCCGGATTTCCGGAATTTTCACTAACTGTGATCTGGAAGTTTCCGGAAATCGAAGGTCCAGTTGATTTAACAAATCATTGATCACAAAAGTTTCCGGAAATCAATGATACAGGGTTGCCTCCGGCGACTAAAAAGCTACTATTTTCGGCCTTAGCTGCTTTTGCTTTGCTGCTTTTGCTATGGTGCTTTTTTTTTTGCCTGAAAAGGCTAAAAAAGCAACTATTTTCAGGAATAGGCGACTATTGGGAGACTTTTTTACTTTTGGCGAAGTTTTTTCGCAAAAATGAACGTTACTTTTCAGTCCCCTCGCTAATACGTGCGTAGTGCTGCCTACCACGTGCATGTGCTCAGTGACGTCATCACGCTAATCACTCCCTTGTTATTTAACCCCACGGAAGAAAAAAAAATCTGCTTTCCTTCATTATTCTCTCGTTCAAGTGGAGCGTATTTTAATTTTAATTGTATATCTATGTGATGGATTTTCTACCATACCAGTGTCCTTCCTCTTTATAATTAATATTAATTTTTTATCAGTAAATAGTTAGATTGTAATCAATAGATAATAAACTAAATAGTTATCAGTAAATAGTAATCTAAGAAATATTGAGAAAAAGGAAAAAAAACCTTCTTTAATTTTTTTTCAATTGAAACTGTTTTTTTTTTTTTTTTTTTTTTTTTTTTTTTTTTTTTTTTTTTTTTTTTTTTTTTTTT